TGGAACGACCTTGGGATTTTTCCTCTTTCCTCACCCTGTCTTTCTCTAATTCAAGTTAAAACTGCCCCCAATTCACCCTTAAAGCAGGTAACTTAATTTCAATTACCAAGAAGCTCCACTTTAAGTTTTATGTACAAGTTACCTAAGTTGGTAGTTATCCCGGTAGCATCAAACATTTTTTCCTGTAAATTTTTTTAACATTTCAAAAAGGAAAAACCTGCTGTGCATATTTGAAATGTTTGCTATGCTCCCCTCAGGTAAAGCAGGTGGCAGTGTGTAGTACATTAGCAATAACAGTGAAGTAGAAGAATAACAAGAAGAAGAAGAAGAGCAGCGTGAGGGGTTTAGGTTGGACAGCACATTGCTCTACAGAGTATTTCATTTGCATGTTGCCCTAAAAGTAGATATGTGCAAACCTATTTCCTTTATTTTACATTTAAAATCCCAATGTTGACAGGTGTCCATACACTGTCCTGATGCCTGAAAAACTTGCTAGAGCACCAAATGTGTAATCTGCAGCTGAAAATAGTCCCCAACATGTACATAATTTACTTCTGTTTGAGTAAAAACAGAACATTTATGAATGCTGAAAGACAGACTAGCGTATTTGGCGTTGTTGGTTTTGGTCTTTCATGGTATTTGTTGATAATTATAAAAATACAAAGCATTACCAGCCTCATCCTTCAAATCCGAGAGTCTTTGGAAAACTATTTCATGTTGAGAGTTCAAGTTAGATCAATGTGTCTCTGTCTGTGTCTTTGTCAGTGACAGAGGAAACATAAATTACAGCACTCTGTATTAGGAATGTGGCACTGCAATTTTACACACACACACACACACACACTGTATAGAACCAAGTATTAGGGAATGTAGTGCTAAGCCTCGGAGCTGGCTTTTCCAATTTCACAAATCCAAAGGTGTGATGTTCAAGATGCAATTTATTCACACCTTCCCAGGACATCTTGCCTCCAAAACTGTACATGAGAACTATCCAAAAAGAAAAGAAAAGAGGGATCTTACAGCAGGGACCTCTTGCTATTCGTATGTGTGTGTGTCGCTAGCTATCAAGTTAGCTGTGGGTCTTTAGTTGAGGAAATGGTGAGTGGTGGATGTTTGAGGGTATTATTCTCCTCTTTCCTCTCACAAACAGACACACAAAATGATTTAGTCGCTTCCTCGTCCTCCTTCAGTCTCTGACACACACACACGAACAATCTCTCTCTCTCACGGCCACACACACACTCCTCACAGTTGTTTTCCCCTCGCCACAATAAATTTATCAGCCCATCCCAGCAGACGAGATTTAGTCCAACTTCCTAGGCACCCCCAGAAGCCAAAAGCTACAGTGAGTGTATGTATGTGTGTGAAAAAGAGGGAAGATGCAAAAGAGGGACAGAGATAGTAAGATGGGGGTGGGGTATGTCAACCAATATTTGCCATGATTACCCTCATCTCTCTGGATTTTTTTTTTTTATCTCAACTTGCCAAGTGTGAGTCTGGTTAGGTATGTGAATCTTTAAGGGGATTGTGTTGTTCCTTAAATTTAGATAAAACTTTGATGATGCCCGGGTTTACATGACTGTTGGTGTACAGTATATTCCTCTGTATGTGACGTCTGTCCTTGGGTGCGTGTGTGTATGTGTGTGTACTTTTGTTAGTGAACCAAGGAGCCTTTGGTCATATTTTTTGCTCGCACTCAAACACACAAGCTTCCAAAAGTACTGAAGGCCTAAATTTGTATGATAAACAGCACGAAGTTAAGCTTCTCACAAAAAACATACTGTCAGCGGAACAAGAAAAGTCGTGCAATTACACGTCTTCCTCCGCTCTTTTTAATACTGTCAGCGCATCTTTATAAAGATTTAATATGCAGCAAAAAAAAAGCCACTTTGCAAAGTCAGGTGCTGTCAAAATGAGACTAAGTGAATGCACAGAAATGCTGTTTACCTCTGTAATGTCACTCACTAAGCAGTTTTCAAATAAATGGCAGCACACACAGCATCACCTGAACCCTGCAGGGAAACACAACACACCCACAAAGTTTAAGAAAAGCTGCCAGAACCCTGTCTCCAATTAAATCCTACCTACACGGTCCATGTCATTAAGAAGTAAGCTGGTGAATTGTTGAGATATAACAAAAACAAAGAAGCTTCAACCAGTTTAGGAAGTGACACCTGAATTGTTCTGCACCATTGCTGCTATTACATCACACACCTGTGTCTCACTCTCTGTGATGAATGGTTTTGATAAAGCAGCCTGGCTTGGTGGAAATCGATTTAACAAGAGTGAGACTGTCCACCTGATGGGGCCTGCGTCACTGTGGCTCAGCATGCTAATACACAGCTTCCACAATACTGGCTCTAAACTTTCTTGCACATTGCTATATTATGTCAAATAATTGCCTGATATCAGACAAAATTGTCAATTCAAAAGGTTTGGAAAAGGAAGTCTAATAATGCAATAGTTTCAAAAAGTAAGTAAATGTAATGGTACAGTATTTTATCAAGTCTAATAATGCAATAGTTTCAAAAAGTAAGCAGAAAACCGATGGCAGGCCAAGTTCCACTAAGTATTCAATCGTCATTAAACTTGAAATAAACTAGAAATGATTAACTGATTCATACTGCTATGAAGTTATCTTCTTAATTTCATATCAGGCTTTCATATAATGTGTCTTTATGAAGAACTTCAGCAGCAACGGAGCTGTAATCCAGGTAGGTGATCACACATCATTGAAGACTGCACTTTAATTGTCAGTAATAACACAGATCATTATAAAAACACTTCACAGGTACAAGCTACATAAACAGAGTGTTATTGAGAATAAACTGCATCCAGCTTGGAGCTATAAATCGCCCCCAAACATCCCAGCTGCTACATATGGAACTTAACAACCGTATGTCCACAGCTATTCTCTCTTATTTACTGTAACAGAGTCGACACAGAACACACTCTGCCTATCTCAAAAGTGAGTCAAAATGAAAACACTGTCATGCACTACCTACCTACCCTAACACTAATATCTACCAAATGTAAATTACATTAAAAATGTAAAGGATGTCAGCATTGGGGATATAAAAAGGATTTATTTGGATTTTTTTTCAGAACACCTCCAACAATTGACACATGCGTATTTAAATTTGGTGTATCACTAAATAATCTCTTAGATTAACACCTTTGCTTGCGTTAATGCACCTGCAACTATCTGGCATCTGTCATTTTTTATCAGCAATAATATCAGTACATTTCAATTATTTTACTAATTAAAATACCAACGCCTCTAGATTTAGATTAAAATTGGAGTGGTAGACCTGGCCCCGTTTCAGAAAGCGGGATTAGTGAAAATTCTGAGTATGTTAAACCTGAGATGAGGGAAACTCTGAGTTTTCCGTTTCAGAGAGCGAGATCAGATAATCCCTAGATCAGTAACTCCGGCAACTGATGCTGTTCACAGGATAAGTTGAAAAACCGTCTCTCTGACTCCTCCCCTGCCGCGGAGCCTGAGGCGGCTGTCTGACATACTGTTTCATTTCCTCATTCATTCTGTAAATATCAAAGCACATATCTGAACACATTTACATCTTTAAAAACTTTAAAATCCCTGTTAGATAGGCTATTAGTTTTTCACCCAAACATGATCTTGAACATGATCAATCTGTCATCAATGTATGGACAGATCTCCGCACATTGTGGATTTATCCTCAGCACAGAATAAAATCTATGTCTACGTCTTTAACGCTGTGACTCTGTGGACAGTCGCACTGAAAACACTTAGGCTACTGTGTGCTAAATTACTGCAGTAATCACTGTTTAATATGTAACCTATAAAATCGATCAATGAACAGTAATCTTTCATATAGGCTAGTCGCACTGATTTGAACTTTCCTAACTTTTTTTTCACAACAACACTCAGGGTTGATTGAACTTATTCTGATCAGCTGTTCTGGAACCGAAAATTCAGAGTTTCCCATCTCAGGCTCAATCAAATCATAGCTCAGGGATAAGCTCAGAGTTTGTTAAGCTTGCTTTCTGAAACAGGGCCCTGCTCTATCCAAGAAGACTGTAGCCTACGATGCTCTTTAAGTCAAGGATGAGTCTCCAGCAAAAATACTATAGCATGTCAGAGTTAAGCCGCTTTAGAAGACTAAAAACCTTGGATCTTTTGCTGCAGTTCAAATTAGCAGAACACATTTATGTGTAAATGAAGAAACCAAATACATCCGAAAAGAGCCAAGATGGTTCCCCATCATCGCACCCACACAAACATAATAAATAAGAATAATTTAAGATAACTCCCACAGATTCCAAAATGTGTATTAATAGGCACAACTAATACTTGAATACCCCATATTGGCTTAGACATAAATGTAATATAAGGATGTGTATAAAACAATCACCCTGCGTATAAAAGAAACATTGCACAGAGGATCAACTAATGTAAACAAAAATAAACAAATAACTAAACGTCAACAACGATCAAATGTAAACAAGTACTTAAGTGTACAATGATGACACTGAGGCATGACAATGATGCAATGTATTGTTTAGAAACATCACTCAGTGTTCATCTTCTTAAAGTAGGCCTTGGCATACTGACAAATCAAAGTCTTTTTCCATAGCTGATGTGGAGTTGGGCCAGGAAGAAAATCCATACGGAAGCCCCTCCACACCAGGCAACAGCTTCCTGACCTCGTCGAAGGCCACCTTGGCACATTGTCAGGAAAAAACAGAGATCCTCATATCCCCCAAATGATCATTAAGATACTTAAGTTAGTTAAGTTACGTACATTAGTCAATTTTTTTCGTTATAATATGTTGCCTGAATTCAATGACATTTTAAAATAATTATGCTAGAGGGGTAGAGCTGCCATATTTGATGCTTTGTGAGTAAGAATAGGTTGTTTATACACTTAACCAAAACATCAACCTCATTAAAAGCAGTTTCCACTCAAAAACCAGCACAACTTTCATGATTTCATATTAATCATTTGAGCCCGTACCTGATTCCATGAACTCTTGGTTGAAACTGCTCCAGACCTCTTTGCTCTTCTCCAGGTTTTCCTCCATGACCTTGATGTCAGTGAAGGGACAGTTGCATTCTGGGAAGCGGGGAGAGCACCGGCACCAGCAGTCGTTGTTGCGGCAGAGCAACTCGCCCTCTGAGTTGCATGCCACATAGCTGAGGGCTGCCTCCACAAAACGCCCACGCAGGAACTCTGGCAGGACATCTTGCAATCCTGGACAAAACAGAGAAGCACATGGTAAGGTATTTCTTCATTTTCATAATAAAGTGTTCTTTTACAATCTGGTTCCACATGCTTACACATGTTATTTTTGTAAGGCAGAACGTAGAAATGTTGAGAATGTGGAGCTGAATTTTTCGCCTTTTTATATTAAATTAAGGCATTTTTGATACATGTAAGAAAATTGCAAAAGGCAAATCTAAGCATATCATTTGTGTTCATCATACAATTTATTTTGGGTTATAAACCAAATATTTCAACATATGTGTGTTTGCAGCACTGCACACAGTGCAGCTTGGAATCACTGCTGTTGGATGGAAATGTTGTTTTTAGAAATTGCAATTGAATGTTCCTTTCATGGATACACATTTTGAAATTTAAGATGATTTTTAATTATTTCAAGAATACACAGTCTGACACTAAATTACTCTTCTAATTTAAGCTTCAATATGTCCATCAGAATACAAGCTGATGAAATGTTCATCTGCAGTACAGCCTGTGTTCCTTCATTTAATATTGCATAGAGATACTGACAATAATAACATGTCTTATCGTGGCTGACTTATGCAAAGATAACAGCTCATCAGCTGGCTATGTCTTTTGTGTGTGGTGCTCTTGCCTGAACATATTAGTCACTTAAACTAATGTCAACTGGCTCTCTCTTCTCTAGCTGGTTGGTGAAGATGCTTAGGGCAAGAATATTTGGTGTTTTCTCCAGAGCAGATAGCTCATATCATTTTCAGTGGCAGCTCTCGCAGAAAGTACTGTAGGTGGATATACAGTATGTTTAGAAACCCAGGGGCATAGTTTAGTAGTTTAAGCAGTTACTGTAAACAACTTGCAGTTTCAACCTGTCATAAATAGTTGTTTCCTATCTGCAGGTTTCATTATTTCTTCTTCCTGTTCCTCAACTTCCTGACACTCAAATCGTGAAAACATACATAATGTAATAGTTATGAAGATGATGGCTGTTAAACCTTAATTACATGCTCAATGCATATTTAACCTATTTAATCTTGCAAAAGAAACACTGAGCATTGTTTTCCTGCTCTGTACGTTAGTCCCTTCTGTTTTTTTCCCATTAAAATTATTTGCCTTTATACATAAAGACTTTTTGTAATTTTCAAATCAAAAAGTAACATACATAGAACTGGCTAAAGTCCTGCTAAATCAGGTGTCTTAAGGTGTGTTCAGAGTGATAGCTATGGATACAAAGTATTGACAAAGACACTTGTGGGCAAAAACAGGTAAAGATGCATCTACATGCATAAATTTTCATGATCCTCCGACTATATGATTCCATTTGATGAATGTACATAGAAACGCGAAAACATATAAACTGGAAGAAAATAAAAGAAAGACCTGGAGTTAATTTTTTTTAAATGAGTAGACATTTGTCACACAAAAACACACACTGCATCACACATATGTTTGGTGTAGGCTATACAATTCTAGCTAACTAACAACTACAGCTAGAAAAACTGTATATAAAGCAAAGCAAATATTTGCTTATTCAAAATAGAAAATTTAGGTGTTGTCTGTTTTTTTCCCCAAGAAATGTACTTATTTATTTTTTCCCAAATACCAGGTAAAATGCTAATTAAGCTAATTTTGCAACCCCTTGACTACTGGCGTTGTCTATGTTGGGGCACTGGGTTTTATGCCCCTCCAGAGTTAAGGCTAGTGCCAGATCTGAGTTTAGCCTAGACACTGAATATTCTGTTGGCTACATTAGCGGCAGAAGGAAAAATCCCCACCGTGCTTGCTGTGGCACAGAGTCTGTGAGTTAGCAATAAATATAATTTGTTAAACTCAAATTTCTTTTTTTAATTTACATTACAGTTAGCAACTTCTTTTTTCCATCTCCATGTGATTTGTCTTGCTTTTGTTTATCTACTTCTCCCACACGCTGCATCCTGCCGAAGCCTCCCTCCACTGCTTGTTTGGGTGGGTGATTTGCAGGCTGATCAACATCCCACCCCTCCTGTGACCCATGGTTTGACTGTATGTGTATTCAGAGCCAGTGAGCAAGGGAAAATAATAATAACAATAATAATAATAATGATAATAATAAAAACTGCGTTAACATGCAATAAATTAATTTATTAATGCGTTAACGCAATAATAACTCATTTGTAATGTTGTAATTGAAGACAGAAGCTCAATCTGTGGGAAATGCTGTCTGTCTTCATGTCCTTTAACAGCGGGGTAACTTTGCAGTTTCAATTTCACTGCTTTCATCATTTAAATATATTAAAGATACATTGATATGCTAATTATAGTGCCAAAGTGTGGTGACTGCACAGTCTATTAAACCAAACCAAAAGCCAGTGTGTGTGTCTAATAGAAACCAGCAGGTGACTTTCAGAAGACTCGTGTGATGCTCCCATTGCTTTTCTGAATCTGTCTGTTGTTCAATGTCTGTCTCCCTGACTGTCTGTCTAATAATCATCAATTTGTTGTGTTCCTCTCTCCCCACTTCACTCTGGATGATTTTCAACAGCCAAGTCAATCCCACTGTGCCCTGCTATGAATATGCATGTCCCTTCTTTGGTATTTACTCTTTCAATGGCTTGGAAAGAGATGTAATTAGTCACATTTCTCCTCGCCCATGCTTTGGCAGGTGCTTTGAGATTTTTGCATGTGTTTGTGTGTGTGTGTGTGTGTGTGTGTGTGTGTTTATGTGTGTACTAGATGCCAATCTGGCAGGGTTTTTTTCAGTTTGGGAGACAGCTAAATAACACTCCCTTCCTATCACCAATAACTCTATCTCTCTTACACCTCACTGCTTGTTGATCTTTCTTTCTTTCTTTCAGTGATAATCACCTGGACTGCAGTGAGTTTGTAAGCATCTCTTTTTTTCTAAAGCAGTTTACCAGTAAGCCTTGGTATTAAGAGTCCTTTTTTGTGTTTTGTCTCTTTTTAAGTTCACTAAACCTTAAAAACCTCTGTTTAAATCTGAATTGCAATGAGCATCACAGATTCTGGTATTATTTTTCCTCCTAAGTGTCCCCTAAATTTTTTTATCGCAACTTTCCCAAACTGATGTAACACGATTAGTTTCTATGTGTTGCATTGCATCTACACTGCATACTGTGACAGTTGTGTACTAAAAGTTTTGTAGTTCTCCAATGCTTCTGACGTGGCATTGACCTGAAAGGAAAACTATATTAATGTTATGAACTAGATTTTCCATAAGGCATTGGAAACTGTTGATTGGTCATCTGTAGCAGTATGTCTGTGTGGTGTATGGTTGTCTGTGCAGTCTTACAGCAAGACAACTTATACTGTTAACAAGAAGTAAGTATAGACAGACAAACAGATGATTGATTAAAACTCACTTAGGCTTCCTAAGTGGACAGATTAATATACCTGAAGGTGAACTGACTTGATCTTATAATGTGTGACTAATTAATAAATGAAAAGATGGGCAGGCCACATTCAGTAATTTCAATACCGTCAGTTTTATTTGTCTCTGAAGACGTTGGTTTGAGGATTTGGCCTTTTTTATTTACAACAAACAACTATTACAAAGTATCATTTAACCTTTCTCCTTCCTTTTTAATATTTTCTACAGTACTCTAGCTCCAGTAGTTAGCGGAGTAACATAGGAGGAGGGAACATAACAAAAGTGGAGAGTGAAAATGAGGACAGTTTATTCAACATGGCTTTCAGGCAGAGTGAAACGCATGCTGGTAATTCCTCTTCTACCTTGCCGCTCTTTACCTTTGACACACGTCGTTATTGCAGCTGCACATTAGTATTCAGCAAAACCTTGTTCATCAAAACTTTAATATGTCACACAATGTGTCTAGGATGAATATTAACCCCTGTTTGGCATTTCATGTCATGAAAAGCCACACAAGCCCTGATGATGAAATTAAACCTGTATGAATGTCGAAGTGGGAATAATATAGTAGGCTTATTTGGGTTAAAAGAGGCCTTCAACATGGCTCTTCTGAATTTAATAGATACACATAAACTTGTAATGGGGGATTTGCTGAAAAATAGTCAGATACTCGAACATATGAATGAATCTACAATTAAAGCCTTTTCACCAACCATGCAATCAAGGGAGTAAATCATTGGGTGAAGGTCTACTAGAGAAAAACTTCTACTTTACAACAACAAAAACAGACTTGTTTGATTGTTTGACTACTATGTATGTTTCTAATTTATTCATTTTTAGGTTTCCTCAGTCCAAATATTGTAGAATAAGCCATCCTGTATGAAGCCATTTAATTTCAAATTCATTTTCCAAGTGAATTTAATGTACTATCCACCAACATGGATATAAGAGGGTTTTATTCAAAACATTGACATGTCACTTAAAAACCAGTGTATTTAGCGACAATGGTCATATTTAGTGTAAATTTTATCAATGGTTAAATTAACCATTTCTTGGTAGCAAAAAGTATATTCAGATTTAAAGCTACCATTTTGAGGTTTCGACTACTAGTGGCACTGCAAGCAATGCTTTGAGGACAGGGTTCGGTTTGTATCTTGTACACTGGTGATGTGTTACCATGGATGTATTATGAAACCTAATACTGGACTCCAATTAAAGCTGGTCATCCAGTGCATGGGGAAAATGCATGAATTTTTAATGGTTTGCTTTGGGTCTTTTTGTGTTGTGATTTGCATTTGTTAAATAATGCATAATATAAAAAATGTTAAAAATATTCATTAATCTCATTTGCAGTTCGACGTGTCTTTGTACTCACCAACAATGGTGGTCTTTGTGGAAAATGTTTTTGATCAGCAGGGATTTTCTATTTGTTGCAGTACCACAGTTGGCCACTGGGAGAAATTGGCTGTAGCTCTCAGAATTCAACATCACATGACAGTGGTCAGCAAGGTTAAACCATGCTCGTAAATCTCTATTTTGAATTTCACAAGAATTGCTGTAAATAGAAATGCATGGCGATTAAGAAAGGGAAAACAGAAAATGTTATTCTCTTCAAAGTAACTAATTATTATGCATCTATTTTGCT